GCGTATTGTGTTTACTCATTTGTAACACACTGTTTCGTCCCCATGGAGCAATGCTTTAGTTAGTGGAATAATGCGAAGCCGGGTATACAGATGTAACCACAGAATGTCGACTTAAAAATTATTCCTTTACCTATTTTTTGTGCAATTGTTTTTTGAAAATACAAATCACTTTGGACCAACTAGGTAAAAAAAAAAAAACCTTCCATCCAGTTTAAAGCTCCAAAAGCATTTACCCTTGGAAATGGTTCCCTTTCATAATAAGATGGATTTGCAATGGGCCAAATTGAGTTGAGTGTGAATTGACAGGTGATGAAGTGGAATGATCTCGAGGATATGGCAGCTTATTTGTCACATGGGCTCCCGTAGCGATTGATTCGTTATAATTTGAGTTCGTAGGTAGCCGGCCGCTATTAAACGTCAACAAGTCCTCATATTCATCACGGCTCCTGCCGAAGAGGCAGAAATAGAAAACGTAATCTCATCCTGATGCCAGGGCGAGCCTGAGGTGCTCATTCACCTCCCTTTATTCCGTCGAGCCTTCCCGAGGGCTCACACGGTCTGGAAGAGAAGGGGTGGGGGGGATCTATAATCTAGCAGATGGCAGAGGATCTATGGGAAATTCTATAATCAGGAGTTGGCAACCGAACACGGGCTGAGGAGCACCGTGTTTTTCTGAGCTGCGGAAGGAAGGATAAATCCACTCCTACCAGGTGCGGAGATGAAGCCACGGTGGTCCGTTCTTGTCGTCATTGGTGCCGTGCGGAGCAACGGTTCAGCGAGACGAGTGAACAAAAAAAACAAAAGTAAAGAAAGGCCTGCGTGTCGTAGAAGGAAGAAAGGGAGAGTGCGTGATGTCTGTGAAGAGTGACTCCATGTTGAGATTGGCTTTCAATGTGCCAGCGGGTGTGAGACTCCCCTGCTCAATTCACGCAGTCAAACGGCATACACGCAATTTCTCTGCAGCCACACTGCAGCACTACATTTGTAGACATATAGACATCTCCTAAGCCTCCGTGGAAAATGCCACCCTTGCTACAGGCTCATTTCTGCTCCTATTACTAAGCCCCGCTCAACAAAGCCTGTATCCAGTGTTTTTTTTTTTTTTTACAAGAAAATAGCTATGCGCTACCTGCCTTTGCCTCATGATAACCTCTCCTCAGTAAGCTCCTTGTGGATGGACGTAAATAAACAACAGGACTCATTATGTGTACCGATTTCCTCCCAGCACTCTGGGGACTGTGTAAATACGCCTTAAGATGACTGAAAAGTCAGCTTCCAAATAACACCGAGCATCAAACTGCTATTAAAATGAGTAAATGGAATGGTTTTATTTTAATTGAGGTCCTTCATGTTATTGTTTTTTAGTTCATGTAATACATATTGCTTTTTTAAAACAACTTTTATTGAGCCACGGCATTTGTATTCATTGGAAGCGCAGTGAGAATATGCTTTTCCGCCCCTGACTGTGACATATTAGGAGCATTTGAACTTTAGTGCAGTTAGAAGAAAAAGGAGACTCAATTGATCTTCAAGACACATTTTTTATGTCCCTAACCACTCCCTACAATGAAAAAGAAAATGCTTCAGGCCTTAATTTAACTAGTTTTGTGTCCTGAAATTAATTAAAATCAGAATTAATAGGCATTTTATCTACGGTGCTGAAAACAAGGGTACAGTCTGATAATTATTAATTGCTGTTGTAGCGTGCAGCTTGAATTACTGTATAATTTGAGTGTGTAAATGCATATATGGGCTGATGTACCGGTCTCAGAAGAGATAATACATAAATTGGAGCAGAGGTGTGACAAGTATGTTTTTTTCATTCCTTTGCCACCTAAAGAACTCCTGCTCCGCTCACTCGGTGCATCTGGCCCCCGTACAATGAATGCTCTCACATCTGGACTACGGAACCAATTGTCACGCTGAGAAGGCGGCAAATCAAATCTCACAGCGGCAACTAAGCGAGGAGATTGCTTTTCTTCCTCTCCGGCACTTCCGCCTTCATTCATAGAGCTCTTAGGGTGTGATTTGGCCTACTGGACCCTCAAGTATGTGGGAAGGAACACAACAATAATTAAGGGGATAGGGTGACACCGGCCGCCAAACTGGGGCCGCTCAGATCATAACAACACATTGTAGAACCTGATTAAGTAGCCATTTGTGGCAGCTCATCTGTAGTTTAAGCAGCCCTCATCTCCGAGCCTGAAACCCGACCTCTGTGAAAGAAATATCGATAGCCCTTATGATTTGATGGCGGTCAGCGGTGTAGGCATACAGTACATTACTTTACAGGAAGATTGCCGCTAATGCATGGAAGCTCTCTGGCATAAAGACCTCGAAAGGCCAAGGGCGCCTCTTAAATGCCCTCTGGCCATCAACCTGAATTAATGAAAAACACAAAGGAACATTTCGCAGTACAATTGATATGCCTTTTTGGGTGAAGCTTACTAATTATGACAATCCATTAGTGAATCATCACCACACATCAATAGATGCTTTTGTTGTGGACTAATGCCACTTATCTATCACATTCTTCAAAATATCTGCACGAAGTTGGTATTTTCGTAATCTCCAGCAGTGAGATGTCTCTGTGGAAAAGCAACCGCATTTGCATAACTGAAGCTATTACTCCAATTAGCCCACTCTGACATAAGCAGAGAGATCAAAATGTCAACAGAAGGAAATCTGCTGAGATGACTGAGCCTGCATCATCGATAGCGACTCTTCTCGTAAAAGGGTCAGCGATCCGTGCAGCATAACTGCGTTTCAACAGGGCTCTCATTTGTTTTAAGTGTCGTGGCCGAGGAGATCAGGAGCAAAGCTTTATATGTGCAGATACACGAGAAGGACTGCCTGGAATCTTGCTCTCACTGCAGAGCTCCGAATAGCGCCGCTCAGAACCAATTATGGGCCAGCCACTCTGAGGCAGATCGTTTGGAAATTTGTATACTGTCTTTCCCCATACTCAGTTGTTGTTCATTAGTCTTTCTTGTGGATGACTGTGGAGATGGAAAGGCTCTGTAATGAGTTCTCACAGGGACTAAAGTAGAGCACAGGTGCCATAAAAACATTTTCTGCATAAATACATACATACACATATATATATATATATATATGTATATATATATATATATACGCCTGACCTGTTACTGAAATAATTGCTTATGCCCATTACTTTGATATTAATGGAGTCAAGGCGGACAAGAACAAAGAGGCAAATAACTACCTTGTGAGCTGCAACTAGAACAAACAAGAGTATGTTCCAAATTGAGGTCTGCTAATATAATGTTAATTAAAATGGCTTTTTACAAATTATCTCCTTGATTACAATGACTTAAGGTTTAATTAGAGCCATAGCAAACACCCACGCAGGCAAGAACATATACGCACCACACACGCACACATACACACAAAAGAGAGCGTTAACCTTCAGTGGGTTCAGATTTCACTGGACCAGAAATCTCAATTAGACGCCTGGTCAGCCGTCACTTGTAATTAAAATATTATCATGCGTGGAGGTAATTAGAGAGTGTGGAGGTGAGATGGTACGCAGCAGCTCACTGACTGGTGATGGAAGAAGGTCTAAGGTGGACAGTGATGAGCATTCCTACCCTGTAAAACAAGAAAGAATTTGTGAAAACTGTAAAAGTATGTTCCTGTAAGTAGGATTTAATCAATCCATTTTGAAATGAATTCCACTAACATGTCACGTTTAAGTGTTTACAGTTGTTGACGCGCATCTCGCGCTGTAGGGATCTCCTAGCCACTGTTGATATACACAGATGGGGAAATGCGCAAGTGTTTGGGATCATAGATCTTTATGCAGAGTTATTCCATCTGTGATTATGATAGCTTGTATCTGTCTCCCAGCAGCTAGTCTGGATGTCCCTGGCTGGCGGCATAATCACTGGTCATGTTGCACTGTCTGCATTAACCTTCTTATCGTCTGGTTGACTGCTGTTGTCAGGGGGGCTGATGGCTAGACATACCCCTGGAAGGAAGCCATTGACTTCTTTTTCTTTCTCGGTTTAGAATCAGCTTAAGTTGAAGCTGAGAGAGGAGGCAGGTTGCTCCCCATGGAAAATACCTGCATGTTGATTATAACTAGCCAGTTAGATTCAAAAGGTTTAATTACAAAGCTGCCAGTTTCATTCACATCATTATGCACCAATAGAACATTAGTCATTAGCAGCAATAATTATTTACATATATTTGTTTACCAAATAACTTTTTGTGGAGACCTTTTGACCATGCAAAAGAATCACTGAATCTAGAGTTCTGTTTCAATGGAAATGAATAGAACTTACCAACTTTAAACCATTGACTTAAGAACATGTCTGTCTTAACGCTCTCATTCCTGCAAGTCGCAAGAAAAAGAGGATTGTGAAATTAGTCATGCTGTTTACAAAATTTAATGGCCAAATATAAAATGCATTAGTCTTTGCATAATTCATGATTTTGCTTAATTTCAAAACACTAGTAATACCACCACAAATATACTGCGAATACTTGATATATATCACCCAGTTCTGTGTACTTCTAGTCATTTATTCAAAAAGCGCTGCTTTCCAGAAGACTCTGAAGTCTCTTTTTCAATGTGATTCAAAGAGTCATCATATGCAGATCATTGAGGCCTTTTCATCTGCATTTGCAAAGTTAAAAAATCTCCTGGCATGCTCTTAATTTCCTTCCTCCGTTTATTTATTTCTTTGATATGTTCATATTAGCATCCTCAGAAGTGGTGTGAGGAAAAGTGGCACTGGAAGAGAGGAAACTTTCTTCTCTAACCCCCAACCCCTCCTCTATTCCCCTGGAGAATGGGAGAGTTTGCCTTTGCCCAGGCAGTTAACTAGAGTCTTTGTGTAAAATAACATTTCTATTGAAAGGCAATTACTGGTGACATTATTTTGGTTGCTGCATAATTAAATTAATTTTTGTTCTCTCTCTCTTTCTTTTTCTTTCTCTCTCTCTCTCTCTTTAATTCTGTCTCTTTCCCCCAGACGGAGAATTATTCCATTGACTCAAGTTATGTAAACAGCAGAGCACACCTAATTAAAAGGTATGTCTTTATAAAGCAATCAGATTAACTTACCTCACTCTTTTTGATGCATTCTTAAAGTGGTCAGATCATACATTTGTTTAACTGTTAAATGTTTTATGCTGCTCACCATTTAATAAACACCCCATTTGCATGTGTAATGAGTAATACAATTTATGAACCGTATATTCCACTTTCTCTCACCTTGACTGAGCAGACTTAAGTTTTAGATTTTTTGGGTCTCTGGTGTTGGATATTTCGGAATGAGATGTTTTTGCATAACAGTTTCAATGGATGGGCATACGCTACAGTACAACAATCTCTTTATCTCACAAGGGAAAAAAAACCTCATCATATGACCCATTTTAGATGGCATTTGTCTTAAAAAAAATAAAATAAATAAAGTTGTTGGCTCATAAACCGTATTAGGGTTTGGCCACATACCATAGGCAAGATATTAATACTCAACATGTTTATAAATGGCCAGTGTTAATCACTTATGATACTAAGTAAATAAAGCTTAAGCACATCCTCATCAAGTAGTTCTCCTTGCTTCCCCAATATGAATAATTATATCAAATCCCTGCAAAAACGTGTATACATATTACATGTTAGAGAATATTAAAGCTGTAGCCAAGAGCAGAGGCTTGGGCGGTTAAGCTACATCCATGTAGATGTTAATCAAATTGCTAAATCTACAAGAATTTAAATCCTGGAATTCCAGAGGATTCTTCCTCAGTACACACAAGGAGGGCTTTGTTAGGCCACGGAGATAAGAAAAAGGTAACCTTATTTTGCATTGTGGAAGAAAAGAGCAAGGACAATAGATCCTTTGTACTGGCAGGACTTGGCCAGCATTCCTCAGTCCACCTAAAAGGATGCTATTGACTGACATGGAGCATTGGCATGCAGACATCCCTAATGAAGGTCCTCGGCCGCCTGGGGGCCCGGCTGCTACGGATGTGCACCGGGACTGCAATGCCTCTCTTACCTAGAGCAAAAAAACCCCATTCCTGTTTACCTCAGTACTGCATTTTTCAAACCAATTACAGCAATTTTATCTTCAAAAAAAAAAAAAACATTGCCTATGTTTACATAAACAAAGAGTATTCAAGTGTCGACTATTTGGCTCTGCGACACTACAAAGAAATCCCCTCCAGAGCCTGTGGGCGAACAGTCCGGGACAGGTGCAATTAGACTGATAAAATCAGAGACTGCACTACCACCATTTCAGTGACATTGCTAGAATCCTTCTCTCTCTCCCTCCTCTCTTTCTCCTTAGAAGAGGCTACAGAGATGCTTTTGTCTATGTATGTCAGTGTGTTTATGTGTACACATGCGTTTCTGATCCTTGCTGTTGTTTTAGAGGCAGAATGTGTTCCACTGGGCTAGCTATCAAATTAAGGGAAATCAGGCTTGTGCACTGCAGCTGTCAATTGGCAGCTTTTTCCCTCCTCTCGCTCTTTTATGTCAGTGAATGAGGGTAAAGAGGATAAGCACAGTTTGCTCAAATTATTACACCTCTATTTCAAAACTTCCACAAATTTATGTGACCAACATAAGTTCTTCTTAATAAGACAGTGACCTGATTTTTTTTTTCACATTGAAAACCCCATGAAATCAAATATTTGTAGCTTTTGTCCAAATTTAAAAGTTTTTCTCTTCCAGGAAAATGAACCATAAATATTGATAGGTCATCTTATATGCAGTGGTGTAATACAAGATGTCTGTGTTGTTGTTTTATTTTCTTTCTTTTTTCTTTTTTTTTAAAGATGTCACATTTTATATGGAAATATTTATACTTTTTTTTTAAGATATATTTTTTCTGTTCACCAAGATTGTCCAAATTTAAAAGTTTTTCTCTTCCAGGAAAATGAACCATAAATATTGATAGGTCATCTTATATGCAGTGGTGTAATACAAGATGTCTGTGTTGTTGTTTTATTTTCTTTCTTTTTTCTTTTTTTTTTAAAGATGTCACATTTTATATGGAAATATTTATACTTTTTTTTTAAGATATATTTTTTCTGTTCACCAAGTAATTGAATTCTTGTCATTAATTACTCACCCTCATGTCATTCCAGAAGGTGAATTTTATGGAATTTTTATTCAGTAGGTGAAGTTCCAAAAAAAGATTGAATATATATCATAAAAATAGTAGAAAACAGGTGAGTCATTTACTATAAGTATTCTGAAGCCATTAGATGTCACAGAGTCAGGATAAAAATCAGAAAATAAAAATATTCACCTCTGCTGTTGCTCTCAAATCAAATATAAGAGTGATTAAATTATGACAGAGATTTCATTTTTGGGTGAACTATCCCTTTGATGCTTCTACAATCAGATATACAGTACAAGACGTTTCTTTCTGGCATAGTCTGTATAAAATGTAGGAAATTTACCACAGCAACACATAAGAGTTCTGCACAGCCATAGACCAGTCACCCCTGATCTTTTACCCCACTATATCAGAATGTGAGAAAAGCCGCCTTTTTTAGCTTTACCATCTGTGCAGCTAATAGCTAAACAAAGATAGCACTGGGTGAAGAGACTGAAAGAATGACAAAACCAAAGTTGACAGTTAAATAACACTTTCCTTCTTTTTCTCTCAACTTTTCTACTTCACCTGGCTATAGCACTTCAACATTTAAGGACATGGAAGGAAACAGTCTGAAGGACAGTGGCCACGAGGAGAGTGACCAAACCGACAGCGAACATGACGTTCAGAGAGGGCACTATGCCGACACAGCTGTCAATGACGTACTGAATATGACCGTACCCCCCAACAACTCGCAGCTACCTGACCAAGGTAAGACAGAAAGGTCTCGACTAGCTGAAAGCATCCAGAAAAAAATATCAAGCCATAGCTTCGCAGGGAGAGTCGGCCTTGAGGCGCCTTGCTAATGCACAGGCAGCACTTCTCTTCCTGGCTTGTCTTTGATACAAGCCCAGGAACATTATTGACGGATGTGAGCCACGTCTACAGTCGACAGCAACACTTCAGATCCAGACCTAAATGGCAGCAATTAGGCTGACAAAGGTTGAAGGTGGAAATCTACATATCACGCAGTCTCCTCATGCATAATTCACACAAATCATTTAGCAGGGAATTAATGTTGATGTTTCTTTTTTTTCGACTGCCGTTAAAGACATCCGGTATGTTGGCAGGAGTCAGTAGGAGGTCATGTTCACTCTCAGCTACTGCCACTCAATGCTACAAAGTTATAGAGCAACGAGTGGCAGCGCTACAGAGAATCAAAGCATGGAGAAGACAAAAGAGGGCTCCGAATGGTTTTATTGCACTGGTTGTTTTGTGTTGTCATGCTCAATCAGCCTTTGGTCTGTGTAATTTAGAACAATGGAACACCTCCAGCGGCTGCTAATAGTCAATAGCGAGAACTCCATTCTTGTCAGACGGAAATTAGTCAACCAATTTTCTGAATTACAATGAGAACTTGACATTTGCTGAATAGAAAGAGAGCAGAATAAAGAGCATTTCTGAGGGAGATGAGGTCATTAAAATCGGCAGGACGGTCTCTCAGATTGGAGTTTAAAGAATGCGCGGCATTGTGGCTTGCCTGCGATGCACAAAATCAAGCCTGGCTGCGTCTGACTCATAGTACCACTGCTTACTGATCTCAGTGTCTTGCTTGGGGAAGAAGAGCCTAATAAGAGAGCTAAGGAAGAGAAAAGACTTGGTTAACGGCTATAAAATAATTTAGCTTGTTCTTCCTTATTTCGTCCCCCCCCCCCCTGCTTTTGTAAAGCAGGAGCCTGAATTATGTAGAATTGGCAGGTGAACCAATTAAGATCTCATTTGGTACAGATCGTGTGCTCTATGGCTAATTCCAGCAGGCTAATTAACCGGTTTGTTCTCCAGATGAATCGCAAGATGTATGGCTACCTGGCAACCAGAGAGGAGGAAACTTCCTCCCATTTACATTTTTCAATGTAAATGCGTCAGATGCATCAGCAGATTTGTTTGAGCGTTACTAGGCTTGCCACGTGTTGTCTGAGCTATGGAAAACGCTGAGAGGAATGACAAGCCTCTGGGTTTCCATGATGGAGATCTTTCTGCATTTCTTCCACCGCCAAATTCCTGTCAACGTATAATGAACAATGATTAGTGAGTCTCACGACTACGGTTTAAGCTGTTGTAGATGTCTCTCTGTAAGAGAAATGCATATATAGGACTCATAAAATGCACTCTGACATACCCTCCAGCTCGGCACTCACATAATTGGACACAATTAGAAAAATGTACACAGAGAATGTTACAAGTAGATGAAGCCTTTCCAGGTCAGCCATTTTATCATTAGCAAAGCTCTTATCTGCTCATGAGCTAGCAAACATTGAAAATAAAGGATAGCAGATAAGCAAAATGAGCAAGCACTTCAACGTCGCTGTCATCGGTTTTAACCAAAGCCATTAGACAGTGACAAATATCAGATCTAATGTCATTTTGAGGCATGTCGTCCATTATATTATTCTGCAGCAGCTACAGACCCTTTGTACCCAATGAAAAGCAGTGCAGTGGACACACAGCTCTTATTTGAGTGCTTAAAATGTCTTTAGCCACATATATATCGAAGCTTGTTGATAAATATGAAATGAACTGACCACTGACCCTACATATACAGAAATATAATGGAATTCATCCTCCATTACAATCTCTGTGGTCTTATGTAGTGCGACAGTCCCTGAAAAAATCCCAGCCATTTTCTCCGTAAGGTAATTGGTTTTTAACAATAACTTATGGTCACACTTTATTTTAAGGTCCAATTCTCGCTATGAACAAACAATTAACTATGACTTTTGCCTCAATAAACTTCTAATTTGCTGCTTATTAATAGTTAGTAAGGTAGTTGTTAAGTTTAGGTAATGGGTAGGATTAGGGATGTAGAATATGGTCATGCAGAATATGTGCTTTTTAAGTACTAATAAGCAGCCAATATGTTATTAATAGGCATGCTAATAAGCAACTAGTTAATAGTGAGAATTGGTCCCCATACTAAAGTGTTACCTATCTTATAAACCTTTAAAGACTGACCTGCTGGTAGCTATGAGGTTGTTAATCAATGGTATATGCTTTTGTCGAAATCATCAGCCTACATTATTTCATTATCTCCTACATTATCTCAAAGTTTAAAGTGTTGTGATTCATCTTGTAGTTGGTTTGTTTGGTTCATGGCTTATAATGCAACAAAGTAGGCGGGCACTGTTGCACTTTCATATGTTGCTTATGATTGAATTGGCCAAAAACACAATACCCAGGACGAGAATTTCAAACCCAGTACAAGACTGCCTGAGAAACTTACTTGAGGTAAATTGTTTGCTGTAAATTCTGATAGATCCTCGAGTGTTTGGTGACTCTTACCTTATTTTGTTGTTTAAAAAGTGCTACACTAGGGTGTGGTGTTAGTGTAATAAATTTAAACAATCACAGAATCACTGAAAACCAACATGGCAGAATTCCCAGCTAGGAAATAGACACACTCATTCACCAGGACACTGAGGCATATAGCGGTTGTAGTGGGAATACCTCTGATCTACCGTTTTACTCTTCTAGTACAGTGAAACAAATTTAAACTTCAATTGCCAAAGGACATAAACAGAGAGTCTGGATATCAAGACTCTTCTTTGTTTCCCCTTTTTGCTTTTGTTTTCATGTTTTTTTTTACCCTCATTCTTCCTGGAAACAAACAGAGGCAGGAAGTTGAGGGATAGCAAGCTCCCTCCTGTCTCGTTCCCCAGGCTCCCGAGCAGTGTAAATGTTTATGATTCACGCAGCTCTTTGAAAAGGTAACGTTTGCACTAGGGACATAGTGTTACCTCCGATTTAAAATGGCTCCTCCCCAATTTCTCTTTCCATTGTGAGATGGAGTGTGAGAACGGGGGGAAAGCCCTCTTAGGACTGTAGTCTCTTAATAAACAATACACAAACACTTCCTCAGGGGTGCTTCCTTCATAGCCTTTTATTCTATTACAAGGATCTATGTCTACTTCCTGCAGTTTGCGCTCCTTTTCTTTTAAGAATATGGCAATTTATGGTGGCTCCCATAGCACGAAACATCGCACTTATTGGGAGATGGCGTGTCCTTGACAGGAAAGCGTGGGAGACGGTGCTAATGCTACTGTAGCAGGGCCGGGCCATGGTGGTCAACATCCAAGACTAAAGATTGCATTAGGGCAGAATTACCAGTGAAACAGTGATGAATGGGTTACGGTGTGGACGTCACTGCCTGAACCCTTCCCTCTGTGTTTAAAGGGATAGGCATTTTTGGGTGAACTATCCCTTTAAAGCCTCCCTGTGTTGAATTATACATCAGTTTGCTAGCAAAAGACTCGGATGATGGTACCTGATATAAATAGCATATAAACATGAAAAATACTTTCCACATCCCTTCAAGAGCATTTACGGCACATACGTGCCCAGATATATCTCTAAATCTCAAGGATCGACTGCCTGTTTTGTTTGTTCTAGGCCAGAGGTCTGGTTGATGGCTATTTGTAGAGTTCCCAGTCTCACCAGACAAAATGACAGTCACCATTAAGCTCTTCTTCTCCTCTTTCTTTTTTCCCACCCCCGAGGAGATTGAGGAGCTTTGGCTGCTCAATTTGCAGCTGCTGAGTTCCAGCATGTTCCACTCAGAGTGTCCCCGACCCCGGGAGTCTTTTATTCATCAATTCCTTTGTCCCCATGGGCTTGTATCTCCTCCCATGCCCCGGGATTTCACACTCCCTCCACCACCCAGTGCCCCATCAGCAGACTCCGGCTTCTAATTGATTTTGATGAAATTGATAAAAGAGTTTCCCTTTTTGTCTCCATCACCCCCCATGGACCCCTCCACTCATTCCCAACCCCTCCCCCTTAGTCACCCTCTCCTTCTCTCCAATCCGCTACTGGCAAGATCTGTACACATGCCCGTACGGCTCAACTTCTTAGACAGTTTTCCTCATATTAAAAGAAATGACAAGTATAAATAACAGTTTTTGCTCTGCAGTCTCACCCTAAACTTTTAAGTGAAGGTTTTTTTGTTGTTGTTGTTGTTGTTGTTTTTTTGCGTGGGGGTCTCTGATCGCCTAATACAAATGCTGGCATATGTCAAAATGAAGACAGGAACAGAGGAAGACAGAGGAAGGACTTAGAGTCAGGTAAGCAGGGTGCAGTGAGCAGGAGCAATGATGTCTTTGACAGTTTGGTGCGGTTTTCTCTCGACTCTGAACTGAACTGCAGCCTCAAGGGTGCATCATGACTGCTGACTTCCCGTAAAAAAATAATATTAACATTTGACTGAATCAGACATTAAAGGCTCACTGAATTTCTGGCTGTTACACGACATGTAGGTATATGCAAAAATAGGCTATATTATAGGGACTTATTTCACTTTTATTTAAATTTGTGTGGCTATTGGTGGAACTAAGAATGAAAATGTCATAAACCATCAATCAAAAAGCTATACCTTTTTGCCTTTAAGGGGCTAAGTGCAGTGTTAAATTGGTCAATGAAATTACTCAAGATGTTTGAGAAGAAAGGGTTTTGTAGGTATGAGATGAAAAATGTGCATCATGATGATAATTAAACAATTTCAATAAAAAAATACTGTTGACAAGTACATGACAAAAAATAACACCATATTTTAAATTCACTAATAAACAATTTCAGTAAGAAAAACCTAGAAAGAATACTATTGTTTCAAATAATCCAATCTTAAATTTAAATGTAAATAAATATATAAAATGTTTGAATATTTGGTTTATTTTTCCATTTGTTATTTTCGATGACTACAAAGAGCTGCAATTAAAAAT